TATATATATAATATTACATTGATATGTGCCCCGCCCCCCTTATTTTTCAGGGGTTTGTTTGTTTGGGGGTTTCACACACAACCCCCCATAGTATAGCTTTTTCATTAACCCTAGATGATCCCTGTAATTCAAAGAACTGTTGACTTGGGAACCTGCATGTCTTGCAGAAATAAATAAAAAGACTAAATGAAAGCATGACATGAAATTGGCCACCCTATCATCTCAAGGCTAGATGCACTGGGTAGGAAGGGTAGTGTAAAAAGTAGCAGTTGCTTTTGCAGTGCCTGTAGACAACTTGTCTTTTTATTGTAGGTGTGGAGGGTGCAGCTTTCCAGAGTAGACTTCCACATGACCGTATGACATCTCAAGAAGCTGCCTGCTTCCCTGATATAATCAGTGGGCCACAGCAGACTCAGAAGGTGTTTCTGTACATCAGGAACCGCACCGTAAGTTTATTGTAAAAGTATTGATGAACAAAGGGTAAGACATTTGTGTACCTTGCAAAGACTTTTTGGCAGTTACCATGTCTAACGGTAGATTTTTTTGTTTTGTTTTGAGATGGTGAGGTTTCATTTCTGGTATCCTGTCATGCTCTAAGTTGCTAAGGAAGGTGTTATCCAGTTCTTGATTGAGGCAATGCTGTGAGGCAGCATAAAGATTCTGTAGTATACTTACAATATCCGAAACACGGTCATAACAACCATCAAAACTACATGATTCAGCTAATACAGCTTTTAAAAAATAAACAGAAAGCTGGTGCAAATGTTCTATTACTTGATCTCAGCTTAAAGAAGTCTCTGTAGAATACTTAAATAATATTCAATCAAATACCTTGTTGCTTAGAATAAGAAATGCCTTTCAGCTTTTATTTTTTTAGTGTGCTGAGCATTCAGTTGCTGTAATACTGAGACATCAAGCCAGTCACATGGCTTATTCTCAGAACAGAATAGTTACTTTGCCAGCTTTGATTTCAAAAAAGAAGTTGTAACGCTGAAGAAATGAAAATCTGCTTCTGAATGTTTGTAGCATTTCTGCCCAATTCAGAACCTTCCATGCAACTTGAAGTATAGAAAGAAGGGGCAATATTCAAATAATTCATTGGGGAGCTCATTCACTTGAGTTCAGGCAAGCATGCCTGAAGTTTAAACCTTAATAAAACTTGAACAGTGGTATTGTGTTTTGCAGATGATGCTTTTAAATTGTGACAGTGTTTTAGGTTCCTCAGCACACAAACAGGGTTCAGGGCTTTTTCCTGTACTTAGAAAAGCGATTTTTTTAGAAAACTTAAGTCATGTTAGAAAGATTAAGAGTACAAAAGCAAGAAATATTTTGAAAATTGCTTTGTTACCCTAGTTAAGAGAGAAAACACCTTATGCACCTTTCAGTTTTTTTCAGACTTAAGATGATCAAGGGGGATCACCATGGTAGCACCCAATGCTTAATAACTTAAGGTATTTGAAATTTATGCATGGTGGACATCTTCATGCATGAATCTTGCATTTCCTGTGAAAGCTCCCTCTAATTAACCGAAGTTGTAACTTTTGGGAGGTCATGAGATGCATAAAAACAGACCAAGGCAAGCCAAAAGGTTTGAAAAACAGTTTGCTCAAAAAGTATAGTGAGTAATCCTTTTACAAACACATTAGAAGCAGAAGTCTTCCACTGAAACTAATAAATGACTGGAATTTAAAGGAATGTTTGGAAGGGGTATTTGCAGGGCTGCACTAGAAAAGCTGCATTGTTGGTCTTTGGTCCTTATTTGCTATGGAGGAAATTAGAGAAGTTCCTACGCAGGAATCCCTTTCCGAGGAGGGAAATGTGAGAGGATCTCCTCTGGTCAGAATAGCAGAGGTTATAGAAGAGCAGATGAAGCAAAGGGTAATATAAACCCAATGCTCAGCAGAGCTCTGGGAGAGCTGTGAACTGCAGTGTGCATCCTCTTACTTATAGCTGGCCCAGTATCAAGGGATTTGAAAATATTGAAGAGGGCATGAACACCCAGAGTTCCCAGAAGTTAGAGGAGTTAGACTAGTAAGTCTGATGTTTCCAATTTGCCTGGTAACAAATGGAATCAAGAACTGAATGAATGACTTGGTAAGTAAAATCGGGTTTTGGAAGGCTCACAGTAGCTTTTATAAAGGGAAGTCAACCTTTACAGTCCATCTGAGTTCTTTGAAGGACTCATGAGAAAGTGAACAAAGGAGATCCACTTCATGTGATCTTCTACATGAATCCCCCCCACCCCAAAACAAAAAAAACCCAACCAACCAATGGGAAAAAAAACCCAAAACTGCAAACCAGTAAAAGCTCATGCTAAATTACTGTTGGTTAAAGCAGATCATGAAAATTTACAAAGCAGAATATAGGATAAATGATCTGCTGTGGCAGCGCAGGGCAGTTGTGGTTTGAAGCCTTTAAAATCTTTTAATGCCTGCACTGTTCTGTGTATTCATAGAGGGTCTAAAAATCAGAATTTGTAAAGAAATGGTCATGTGCTGCACATACTAAGTTACTTTAGGTACTAAATGAGGACTACAAAAACTACAAAAGATGAAGGCTCTTACGAGTAACTGGGTGATAATATAGCAGATGAAGTTAATTATAAATAAAAGTAAACTAATGTGAATAATGGTAGTTGTATATATACATATGTAGAATTTTATATATAAAAATATAGTTTATGGGCTTTGCACTCTTCCAGCTAGAATGGAATCCTAGCATTATGGTACGTAGTACTACAAAATGGTTAGTCCCACTCTCAGAAATTATCAGAAAGAACGTTGTTAAAAATCACTTGGAAAACGAGAAGAAGAAAGTACTATGCTAAAGATGAAATTTGCCTCAAAATAGCCTCCCAAATTATATGGAAGTTCTTTCTTAATCTTTCCTATTCATTATACTTGTATGATTTCCACTTTAATTCGGTATCTGTGAGGAGCTGTGAAGTTCAGTAGTGCAATTGTAGAGAAATACCAAAATAAATGACTAATTCTGGAATGTAAAATGGTGTGGAGATGCTATGTATGACCTAGATCTAGGCACTGAACTGTAAAATGTTATTTATTAACTATTGCTGTCCATGCCATGAAGTAGGAGTTCTGTTGGGAAAACAGTTGTGATTCTATTATTCTGTGCTTTTTTCCTAGCATGAAGTGACATGATTAATATTTCACAGGCAGCTCTTCCTGCTTGGTTTCTGAACTGCAACTGTCCTCTAAATGCTCTTTCTTGTGTATATGTGGCCAGTGTAGTCCATGGTAGTGTCTTACATCAGTGAAGATGGCTTAGATGATTAAAGGTCTGAGATAAATAAATTTCATAAGATGACAGTACTTCTGTAGCTTTTACAAAAATAATGTGACATTTGATGCTGAAAAGTCAGATGCTGGCTGATGTTGCATGCCCAATTGAAATATTACACTTGCCATGCAGGTGAAAGGAAGGCTGTACATATAAGCATTCTGGCACTACCATTTTGTAGCTTTTGTTCATTCAGTGTGTGTTTTCTTGTATGTGTGATTAGGAGATTGCTAACTTGATACATTTCCACTTACTTGAAATGGTGTAGGAAGTTAAAATGCCTGTATTGCACCTTAAAGAACACTGGAAGGTGAAGTTCAGTGCGGCTTGGATAGCACTGCCAAGGTGTAACTCTTTAGAGTTTCATCTCCTAACAGTATTTGGTAACAAACATGCACATGGAAAATGCCTCTTTTCTGTTGCTTAATATAATGTGTCTTATTGTTTGTTTAAATACAGCTGCAGCTCTGGTTGGATAACCCAAAGATTCAGTTGACATTTGAGGCAACTATCCAACAATTAGAAGCACCTTATAATAGTAAGTCAAGTCTTTTACTGCCAAAACCATACTGTACATATCACTGCTATCCTTTTTCAGTTTTGGTTGGGAAAAGGCTGCTCAGAATCAAGAGAGGACTTCAGATGGGTCCTTTTGTTAGTGGAGTTCCATGAGCGTTAGTGTACAGAATGGGATATTGCAGTAGGCTCATGTTTCAGGTTTGTTAGAGTTCGTTTGTCTGGTAAAGAAATATGACTAGCAGAATTCAAAAAAGCTGATAAAATGATGGGTTGTTACAGAAGTTTCCTTCGAGTGAATTCACATGCAGCTTTTAAGGTTTGCTACAACTTCATGATGGTTTGCAGCTGTGATATTTTCTTAATCATAAGGTTTCTGGGAGGCATAAAAAAGTTGTGTAAGACTTGAACAGACTGGCCGTGATGAAAGAAGGCAGTAAAAGAGCAAGGAGTTACTGCTTGCAAATGTAGGCCATTCCAACTGTCTCAAAAAAGGTCCCAATAAACTGGAAAAGGGTGGAGGGGAGCCATAAAGAAAAAGTAATTAAAGAAGAAAATAATGTTGACATGAACACAGATACAATGTCAAATATTGCAAAATAGTGAATTATTATGTTTATAAAAATAAAAATAAAAACTCGGTGCTCCAGTAATGGGTTGGCTTAATACTGGCAAATCGCATTATAGTTCTGTGTAAAGATCTCCAGATTTCTGCAGTCAATTTCAGAAGAGGTATTCTTCCGCAGTAGATAAATAGAAGCATTTATTGTCCTGTACAGCTTGTCAGGCAGTATTCAAAACTGCAGTATAGCATGGAAAACAGCTTGTGGTTTCCAGAAAACTTTAACCTCACCCTTCTTCAAGAACATGGATTCTTCAGTAGGGCAGCTGGGGGTGCAGAACAGGTTGTGTTCAGTGTGACTTTGCTGGGTTGCTGCTGTGACATATTTGCTTGTGAATATGTTTTCAGTACATGTGTGCTGCTGAACATACTTAATAATTTTAAAACATTACAACTTTTTAGGTGATACGGTGCTTGTTCACAGAGTACACAGCTATCTGGAGCGGCATGGTCTGATCAACTTTGGTATCTACAAAAGAGTGAAGCCCCTTCCAAGTAAGAAACTTGAAAATTGTTACTAATTGGAGTTTTGTTTTATTGTTCTGTGATTTGTTAGGACAGTTTTTTGAGTGCTTTTTTTAGCATTGTGGTGCTGAGAAAATAAAGAGGCTGGAAAGCCATCTGGCTATAGAAGTTCATGTTTTTTATTTTGGCATGGAGAAGCCATGTATTTAAGTAAATCACTTTGAGAGGGAAAATGTTTGCAAAACTGTAGATAGTTTGGTGGCTGTCACTGTTTAATGAGTTCTCCTTGTTCCTCGTTTGAATAACAAAAGACAGGAACACAATACTGTACTTACGTCTGTTATGTGCTTATATGATGCTTGAATTTTACAAGTGCTGAACTTGTCTGTCCTTCCTAGGTTTTATCCTTTTGGGGCAGAAAGAAATAAAACTGGTACTTTGTCCCACAGTAATTAATAAGAATCAGTTTCTTCAAACACTTGTCCTTCAGGAGTATTTTTCTTCCTGTTTTCTTCCTTGTCACAGATGTACTACTGGTGTATTTTTCTTGTACCTGTGTCATTAAGAAAAATTCTAAAGTGTTTTACTGTTACCATATGATGTACATAATTACTTCAATTTTCTTTTCATGGCTATTTGTTTTGTTAAAGATTTGTTCTGTCAGAACTACCGATGAGAAGCTGCTTTTTGTTCTTGGTATCTCTTAAATGCAACTTTAACGTGACTGCTTACAATGTAGTAATGCACATGTAAAGCATGTAGCTTATTGTTCCCTTTCTTTAGCCAAGAAGACTGGAAAGGTGATCATTATCGGTTCTGGAGTCTCAGGGTTGGCAGCAGCTCGCCAGTTGCAGAGTTTTGGAATGGATGTCACAGTTCTGGAAGCCAGGGTATGAATTTCTCTGCTGTTTTACTTCTATACGGAAACTTAACCCACTAACCACATTCAGTACTTAGCATAAGGCTAAGTATTCCAGCAGCATGCCCAAGATGGGTAAGCTTGTGTGTAGTTACAGGCAGCTGGGATGTATTGCTGAGTACTAAACCTGTCTTACTAGGAAACAAGCGTATCTGTTCTCACTGGAAGTTGGCTAATGCTTTCTCAGGGGTGGACTGTATAGTCAGGTGCTAGTGTCATATGCTTACACCAGTAACAGGCTGGAATCTTCTTGCTTTCATGATTAGGAACTGATTTTTCCCTGGACAGCAGAATGCAAGTCTGTGTTTCAAGAACTTGCCCATTAAATAGAATCATTGTTTGGAATTTCCAGACAATGTCAGGCAGGTTATTTTTCATGCACCTTTTAAGTCTACATTAATTCTTTCCTTGTTTATATTTCTCTCTGCTATCATCCTGCTAGCTGGACTGAGAATAGTTCGTTACTAAGTTTAAAGTAGTAGGAAAATAAGTGTTATCCTTAAGTCAGTAGTATGTGTCAAGAATCAGAAACTTTTTTCCTGCTTCTAAAATGGGCTGTTGATACATGGTTATCTTCTTGACTGATAGCTCGCTCTTCTGTGGGGAATAGATAGGAATAATTGGCTGATGGTTTTTTCTAACCCTAAAATTCAGTTTTCTCAAGCACAGCTGAATCATTTCCTATATAGCTATTAGATTTTGTAGTAGGAAGTGGGAGGAGGAAATCTAGCATGCAACTTAATCTGTCCGTGGACAATGAAGGATTGGTTTTAGAATCATAGTAGATCTTACTGTAGATATAGTTAAATCTGTCCAAATCAGGTTAGACATCTTTTTTCTTTTCCTTTTTTTTAAATGCAACTTAATAATTTTATTCCTTAACTTGGGCAAGTTAATGAGATCAAGTGTGTGTTTGCAGAGGTTCTTGGAAAAGTGTACATTCTATTTATTGAACCTTTAGATAAGAGAATACTTATACCACATTCTGTAGAAGTTTCAGTGATTATATTGAAGTGACATGTATTGCTGAATGTTACCAGAGGTTTAATATCTTGTGCTTTTAAAAGGACCGAGTAGGAGGAAGAGTTGCTACCTTTCGCAAAGGGAACTACGTTGCTGACCTAGGAGCAATGGTGGTAACAGGACTTGGTGAGTTTTTCAAAATAAAAAGCATCAGGGGGGGAAGATTGTGGGACAAGATGTTACAGATCTGAAACCTTGTGCTATTTCCTTTCATGGCCAAAGTAATTGGGTATTTTCAACTATTAAAAGGTAGATGTTCTAGTTCAGCCTCTTTGGCAGTTAGCGTTTTTCATCAGTGAATCTTCAGGACAAATGGCAGCCCACACTAAAAGCTGGGATTTTTGTTGGTGCCATAGCTCTGAAGTCATCAAACTGTCATGTCATCAAACTGTTGTAGATCCATTCTTGCTTGTGCTTAGTAGAATTCTTTGCTCTTCCCGTAGCACACTGCCCTTTTGTGTGTCTGTTCTTTTGCCCGATTCCTTTAAGGTGGTATCTGTACTGGGTTCACTGCACTTGCTAGCAAGTCTTTCTATAGCTGCTTTACCCAGCTGCCAGTGGCCTCTTGAGCTCAGGGCCGTGGTCTGAATTTCTTGGTAACTCTCTTAGTTGTTCCCTTGGATCTTCCAAAGTATAAGCTGAAATTGAAGATGGAGAAGTAGGAATGTAGTGAGGGGATTAGTTGAGTAGCTAAGTGCACAGTAAATAAGAGCAAATAAATAGCAAAGTTAAAAGACAGGAGAGATGCCAAAGAGATGGACTATGTTTTTTCATTTATGTGGGGGGGGGAAGGGAGGAGGTGGAATGAAGAGCAGAGCCATTCTAAAGAGAAAACCTTTCTTAAAGTCAGGATTTAAACCCCAAAAGTCCTTTCTTCAAGTGATTTCAAAAATAGCTTTAAAAATAATGGCAAACAAGCCATATTTCTTCCTGTTTAATGCTGGTTTATGGGATGGCATCAGTTATTGATACTGGTTACTCTGCTAAGAAGATGGACAGGTGTTTAGTGTGGAATACCCTTCAGTAATGCAGTGAAATGATAAAATATTATAAAACCTGTGATAAAACCTAACTGACTTTTACTGACTGCCAAAACTTGGTGTCTATGTTATGGTTAGTCTTTATTAAATTGCATACAGAAACTGTTTCCAGACAAAGAGTATTGAAGTTGCAGTCCTGGTAAAACAGATTTAAGGTTGCCTAGTGAAAGACTGTACTATTTTTATATTTAATTCATCATGGGTGTTTCCTTTCCAAAATAATCTACCCTTTGCCTTGCATTAGACCGCATATGCTATGAAGAAAGAAAGAATCCTGTAGTGAAGGAGATGGCTTGAAGCGCATCCTTCATTTTTCTGAATCTGGAAGAGATGTGAGGAGGGGAAGACTACTGCAGGGGTTGAGCTTGTGGTTCAGGAAGGTGAAAGACTGAAGTTACGGCATCTTTTCTGGTTTTGTTAGTAGACCATGGAAGAACTAAAATTTTTAGGAGGTTGTTGAACTTAAAACATGAACTTATGAACCTACTTCAAAACTCTTCTGCTTGTTTAGTCACCTCTCTAAAGACAGGAAGGTATTAGGGTGGCTGAACTTCCCCGTCTATTTTGAACTAAGGCTCTGGGTTTGATTGGATTGCAGAATCAGAGAACATTAAGAAGCTAGATCTGAGAAACTTTTCCCAAAGGTAATTTTGTGGAGGAAATCCATGTTGCCTCTCCTCTATACCATTTCCCATTTGTGTCTGTGCTTTTCATTTCCTCTGCTGTACTTGAGAGGCTTTGATGGTCAGTGATTCTGTATGTTTAAACACAGTGCTTTCGGCCTTTGTCATGTTTCTACGTGGAATCTCCTAGATTGTTTCCTAATCTGTTTAGCTACACATCTTCCAGGTACAGTTGGTGTACATGGTTCATCTTCATAGATTGTATTCGTTAGGGACTGAATTCTTTGGGTTCCATCTCCATGTCACCACGCTTTCAAAAGCTCCTGAAGTTACTGTGCAGCTGTGGGAGCTTTCCTTGGCTTTTCAAACACTCTGTTCGCAAATGTTTTGAAGACATTTATAGCTATCAACTCTCAATTGTACTAAGGTTGCTGCCGCCCTAGGACTCTGCTTTTATAATCAGCCCTTTTTACATAACTGTCCTTTAAGTGTTGGTGAGCAGGTTTTTGGTGGTTTGGGTGGTTTTTTTTTTTTTCCCCCCATGACCTTGTTGCAAGAATTGCTGTGGAGAGTAGACCTTTGGCAGTGTTATACTACTTCACTGGAATGCGTTTTGCAATGGAGTTGGTGTGTTTAGTCTCTGAAATAGCTTTAACTGTGGAATTTATATTTAATTGCAGACAAACTTTGCAGGAGTACTCTGTTAACTATACAAAATGTTTTCCAGGAGGAAATCCCATGGCTGTGGTCAGTAAACAAGTGAATATGGAATTGGCTAAGATCAAACAAAAATGCCCACTGTATGAAGCAAATGGACAAGCTGTAAGTCTGATACTGTTTTCATGAACCTTTTAAAAAGAAATAGTACCTCAAGTGTATTTGCTACCAGGCTGTTGGTCTAGCTAGGAGATAGCTTCCAGGAAGAGGGAGAAGAGTAATGAAAGTGTGTGTCCGTTTTCAGGCAGTGTAGTAATATTCTAGCATTTCTGCACCTATTCTCTTAAAACCTGATCTTTCTGCATGAGTTTTTAACTTTGAATTTCAAAGGTTTTGTGGAAGCTAAGTTCCTATTTATTCTTCCAAATTGATTACTGGTTTTTCTTAGACAGTTGTCTGTCTCACTCCTCTCTGAAACAATTGTCTGCTGTGCTGGCACTCTGGCTTTTGTTGTTGCTGCTGCTGCTAGTCCTTCTCCCTGAGATAAGCTCATTCCAGCTGTTCTACTTATCTGTTGCTTTTCAAAGAATTGACTAACCACTGCCAGCTGGTTGAATGCATGCAACAGTTCAACAATAATATTCTAGAGTTGTGATTCACAAACTTAATTAGTTTTATTTCTTTCCACTGTAGTGTCAAGGAGTGCTGTTAGAGATAGAAATGATACATCATAGAATTGTTTAGGTTGGAAAAGACCTTTCCTAGTTTAATGTTGACTCTCACACATGTATTGACTGGAAGTGTTCTACCTCCTGAATCTTAAAACATGGTACTAAGAGTAACTTCTGAAAGAAGACAGATGAGGATACTGGGCTTCTTGCTAGAGGCCTGAAAAAGTGATCTTTGGCACAAACCTGTTGTAACCTGGCACCTGCAGCTTTTCTTATTGCACATGGGTGAATAGGGTGTTACAATAAACTCAGGGAAAGCTACCAAGGCATTGTAGATGGTTCTAGCAGTCAGTCTGCTCTTGTGTAGTGAAGCCAGTCCTGCATGTAACATGCTTGCCTCTGCACTGCTGTGTTCCCCCTCTCCCAGCTGTTTTCAGTGTCTGCCCAAGTAATGCTTCAGTATCTCACAGCGGGGCAGATGTATCCCTGTGCAATTTGAAGAGGCTCCCTCTGTTAACACCACCCAGTAAGACACACAGTTCAGCTACTTTGAACTTTAGACCATGCTTTTATTGTCTCAGTAAGTACTGTGATGCCTGCAGCTTGACCACGCAGCTTTCCTTTCTGTAGCCCACTCCTTTCTGTTCACAGTGTGCTAGATCACTTACAGGCAGCTAAACCCCTCAGGCATATGCAGCTCCAGCGTCCTGTGGTCCAAGAATTTACCTTTGCTCATCAGGTAGGCACTTGGAGAAGAAGCCAGTGTGAGCAGATTGTTTGTCTGAAAAGGAATATTCCTTCCAATTACTCTGTAGTGTTTCCTGTACCACATTCAAATGGTATTTATCCTAGGAGACCCAGTCAGGATGGAAACTGGCAGTGTGGCTGCATGCTGCCAAGCACTGGGGTAGGGAGGAATCCCTCAGCACATAAAAGGTTCTTACTGCTCCTTTGGCTAACCTTGTGGGACAGGTAACATCACTTCCTTGTGTTTGGTTGCTGCAGCAAGGAGTTTCTGCTGTTTAGGTCTGTGCATTTATTAGTGTAATGACAGGAAGGTTATAACACTAGTCGTATTTCAAAAAGGCATGTATCAAAAATGTCAGCTTACCTGTTGCAAACAAAGCTTGACATGTGTAACTGGATTTATTTTTCTACACCAAATTTTATCACTTCCTTGTGTTGAATGTTGTCTTGGCGATGATGTAATGAACCAGAGTGCTCTCCTTGGTTTAAAAATAAATGAATAAATAAGATTGCCTTTGTGTGCTACTTGTTTCCTACCATGTCTGTCATGTATAGCTTCTGGAACATTTGGCTAAAAATGGTTTCAAATTGGATAGTTATGAGACATAATAAGGAAGAGAAATTGTGGTGTGAGGAATGACGACCAATCTTCTACCACCCAGATACCACAAATGCCAATAATAATTTTAATTATGTGACATTCAGTATCTGTGCATCTATCTGTGATCATATCTCTGTGTTGCCTGTAGCTCATGACCATCTAAACTGTTGAAGGTTGTTACTTCCTATGATAAAGAGTAATTAAATGAGGATGGAAGCTCTAGAAAGAAAATTTGAATTTGCTTGCTAAGATGTGGTGCGGTTGTACCTTGAAAGCTGTGTGTTTTGACATGTACTGCTCATTTTGTCTTTCTCTTGTTTTTCCTTAGTATACTCCATGATGCTACTTCCACCAAGGCAGTTACTTTATTAATCCTTTCTTTTCCTTTTTTTAATGTTGTCACACTTTTTCCTTTGATTATTAGCACTGCTAAAAATTAAATGCTGGTTATCTATTTCTGCAATGTTTTCACATCTTAGTATTTTGATTTTTCAACCCACTGTATAAAGCTTATCCTGCAATAGCTGTCAGGCTACTTATGTTACATTTCTTTCTGCTGCCATTGTTGAAAGGACGCTCTCAAGGTATTTTAGAAACAGTGAAAAATAAGTTTAGTTTGAGCTGAAATCACTGTCTACAGGATATGCTTCTTCCAAAGGTGCATTCACATTGGGTTACTAATGAGTATTGGGCCAGTAACTTCCTTTTTCGGGAGCAAAAATTTTTCTCACTGTGCCAGTAGAGAGTCTACTGACTTGATAGTGTCCTCTTACATTTTTTCTTTCAGCTTATCCCTGAGCCCCAGTCCGTTCACTGCCCTACTCCTCCTCAAAACCTTCTCAATTTGTGTCCACCAGTAATAGCCAAGAGCACAGCCTTTCTTGTCTCAAATAATAGAACACTAATGTTCCACCTCTCCCTCTGGCATTTTGGCAGACTTCATGGTGCAAGTTGTAGCTTTTACATTAGCTAATTCCCTAGCCATCCTAGGAAGTATTGAAGAGCTCCTTGAAAAACAATATACATCAGATAATAATTCAGACATCTAAAGCAGAGAATGCATCTAGAAGTCTAGGGACAAGTAATAGTTGGATGTCCTCCATATCTTGTCTACTGTCTTGACAGCTTTCCACATCTGCACAAGTATCTTTTCAACAGTTAACGTTTCCTGCCAGTCTATGTCTTTTTCTCCACTATCTGCATTTTACTGAAGGGCAAAGTACGTAAGAGTTATACGCTGAGTGTACATCCTCATCGTTAAGCTTTGCACTGAAGGCATAAATCTCTCTTGCTGCTCACAACTGTATGATGACCCAAGATTGAGCAGTTTTATACCTTCAATTAGCACTCCTCTAAAGTTGGTTGTTATTTTAGTCTTTGCCATGGTGTTACCTAATTAAGAAAGACTTCTCTCTGAAGAAGTGAAGATGGAATCAAATTCTCTGCATATAGGATGGGCTCTTAATGATTGCAAGTTTCAGATACTTTCTTTGTGGTGAGTTGGTTTCCTCCAAAAAATTCACTGATTTAGGAGTTCTGAATAATCTTTGGGAAGTTTTATTGCCTGCACAGCTGCCTAAGCTTTTGAATGAGGCATTGATGTCACCTGTGAAAAGGTAGACTATGTGAATATTAAAATGTCATTTCTCTTCCCTTTCTTCATCCTAACTTCACATTGCTGGGAGGCGTGCATTTTGTAATGCCATCTTCAATTTGTTGTCCACCAGGATCTTCACATTCTTTTCTTCAGAGCTGATACCCAACTGTTAGTTCTCAGCCTGTCCTGATGCATGGGGGTATTCCATCACAGTTTCAAGGCTTTGCCTTTGAATTTCATGAGGTTTTTGTCAGCCTATTGCCCCAACAATCTCAATCTAATTGAGGTTACACTGAGAAGAGAAGAGATTGGGGAGGCCTGAGAGGAGACCTTACCCATAAAGTCTGAGGCAAAGAGGAATCTAGTGCTTTAGCCTTTTCCATATCCATTACCACTAGGTTTAGCAACAGGTCTGCAGTCTGCTTTATCCTTACTTTTTTGCTACTGCTGTGTATGTAGAGAGACGTTCTTGTTGCCCTCTTGTGTCCAGCATCTTGATTTCAACTCTGGCTGACTTCTGGTTTTCCTAATGCCATCTCTGTGTGCATGGGCAATGCTTCTTCATTCATAACAGATGACCTGTGGTGTAATAATAGATGCTTAAGCTGGAACTTTGAAGATGAACCTTAAATGATGAAAGTGATTACCATCAGTTTCTTGAGACTGTGGCTCTAATTTTAATTTTTCAGCCTTCAGGAGAGCTATCCTATACCTCTTCATCCAGAAAAGATCTTAGAAATCTAATCATTCACTAGAGTCTGCCCTGTGGCTCTGGAGAGCCTCTGTTCAGTCTTAAGGCAGTGCTTGTTAGTAGCAAGTCCTCTGTTTCCCACTTCGACTTCTACTGAGGATGTGCACCAAGTTCTGGCCCACAGAGACAGGGCTTTTACTTAAGCCAGAAGCTGCAGCAGTATCCTTTTCATCCCCAGGGTCTTCTCTTCAGAGGTAGAATCACTTGTCCATGGACTGACTGTAAGCAAGTACCTAGAAACCAAGTCATTTAGATCATGCTTTTTCATTTCCAGCTCTTCCTTTTTCATGATTAAAAAAATTACAAAGGGCACAGTAACACGTACCCACACTGTTAAAGCAGATCCTAGTGTTCAGTTGTGGTACAAGAATGCAAAGGTTAAGTCAGCAGTGGGTGTATCGCTGGAATGTGACAAAGCTTTCATTTGGGAACTGCCATTTGAAGTTTCCTTACACCTTTGCTATGCTCAGTAGCCTTGTTGAAGCTTTCTGGTACATATAGGAAAGTAGTCTCATAACTGAAATCCATGTTCTACTTAGTATAAAACCCAAATCTTTTTGAATATAATAGGTGCAAATTACATTGTTACATAGCTACGGAGTTAAATAATTGTTATCAAATGTGACTGGCAGCAACTACTAGAGAGGATGGCATAGAGGAATCTTAAGTACAGATCTGGCTAAAGAGGAAGTTTCAGCATGTAATTCTGAAGGGGTGCACTATCAATCATGGAAGGTGATACAAGTCTTTGGGATAGATTTTCAATTCTTACATGAATGAGCAGAAATGTAAGCCTGC